AAATATTATAGCTTTTATAAATTGATAAATAATTTGGCTATACAGTATTAACTCATTATCTTTTCAACTGTACGCTGCGAAAGTAAGAAATTATTCGAATAAGGTCCTTCATTTCCCGGAGCAAAAAAGGCAATAGCATGATGCATTCTCAGTTCTAATAGACTTATCTCCCGGGTTATGATAACTCAGCTGACGTAAAACGATAGCAATCTGGTTGCCAAGTTCACCAATAAACCAATCGTCAAATTGGATTGTGCTCTGTATAAAACTCACCCTCACTATTTTTATATTTTCGCCTTCTATTTTTATGAATTCCTCTCCATCTGTTGGCTCCTGTTTCATCAGTCATTTATGCAATATCTCATCTACGTTGAATGTTCACTATTGTGTGTTTGACGAGTTTCACTTTCTTGTGCTATCTCGAATGAACCAATTAATCATTTAATCGGAATTTCGTAGTCACATATGTTAGCGTAACGTGACCCGTTTCGTGTACCGAATAGGCTTCTATGATGACCGCTGCCAAGTACCGCCTATTCAGGCAAATGAAAACATATGGACTCGGATGTACAACAGAATGATAAATGAATTATTTCGAAGAGTTACTTTAGGAAATACAACTCAAATTTAAAAACAGACTATGAAAATTAACTGGATAAGGAAAAAGCAGTCAGTAACATAATTTCCAGTAAAGGAACACTAGGAAAAAGACTGCAGTGAAATACGGAAAGCCGTCTACCAGCAAGTGGCATTGTCAATTGTTGTGCGACCGGGAACAGTTTCCGTCTTCGACAAACAATGTGTATTCGAATCAGGTTTCCCTGAACACCGTTTGTAGGTGGTTTTCAAACAAGCATCCGAATCATTCTGGTGACAGTTTGGAGAGAAATTCAAATGACTGTGACTCGGTATGCGAATCCGCATTTAGTGATTGAATAAAAGTGGAACGCACAATAACAAAAATCGTAGAGGGAAAATGATGAAAACATTCTGGGGATAGATGTGATGCGATGATATGGTGGATTTTATTGTGTATATATATATAGAGAGAGGGAAAATGAGTAGTGAACTGAAAAGCTAGTGAGCACTGCAAAACTGTTTCGACCTGGTTGGGTTTCATCAGCAGTATCTGGATGAATTGGATCATTCACCGTAGAAACATGCCGAAAAAGAACTATGTGGCAAACAATCCTGATTTCAGTAGATCATTTACTGGTGAAATACAGTACATTTTATAGCTCGGGGAAGAACCTAGGGAGGTAGAAAGGTTAGATGGTTAGTATGTTCAACATCGCAGGTCAACATCGGTTCAGGTTCAACGTCGTTGATCGTATAATTCGTTAGCAGACCGTTCGCAGAGTGGGTTTTTGGCTGGACTGTCAGGTTTGGGGGCACTTTAGACACGTGACCATGGGAGGGCAAGACATCTCACAAACTGCTTCTGTGTGCGTACCGAAGAGATGTCTATTCCAATTGCTATCCCCTGGGCTGTAGAAAATCAGACTTTGTATCCTTTGACCGGTCCCCTGTTACTGAGTAGCTTGAACGGACACATAAGTGGCATGATTCATTTCGGCCAAGTATACTGAAACCGCACCCAAACCTACACTTATCGGTGCCCGTCTAAGCCAAACTGGTAGTATACTCTTATTCGATTGGCCAGGGGCCTTGTGGTATAACCATGTAACTATCTACTTGCTTTGTGTTGTAACTGATCAGTAGCTGAAGCACTGAAAGCAAACTTGTTCGACACGTTCTTTTTTCGAATGAATCTATCCGAAATAGTTAAATGTACGGGAAGTTAAAATGATGGCTAGGATATGTGATTGGAGAGCTAGTCGTTGCCGAACCTGAATTTTCATTTCAAACCAACCATAAACTGTTCGTTCCGTATATAAGTTCAGCCACACTCAATTCAACATTCCCACATTTATATTTCAAGTGATATGTTGACGCACAGTAGAACAGAGTCACGTGAACGCGTTTACTTAAAAATCATTAGGCTGTTGGTTTGAACAGAGTATGCCAGTTTATATTCTTGTTTAAACAGGTCGCAAATCAACAGTGTGCCTCCAAGAACAGTTAAAAGTACAATGAAAAAATTCGGTACCATGAACTAATTACCACAGTGTCACTATTTGTCAAAACTTTACCTTTGTAACATACGTAATGCGCTGTCGATGAGCATTGGTCTTTATTTCACGTTTGCAAGCTACAAAAATTCCGCCATTATCATTGCACATCTGGCGTGGTCTTGCGTAGTTACTCAGTTACTTTCCTACTCCCAGAATACCTTTGCCGATCACGTGATTTAGGATCACTGGGATATATACAGACCAGTCTGCCGTACAGTGATCACATACTCTATTCTTATCCGTTCATACGTGTCGTGGACAAACAGTTTCCTTCTCATAATAACTTGCGTAACAGTATACTGGTGGGCGTAATTCACTTATCACACACACGCACACATACACACACAGGTGTCATAGCATTCACGTCCATGCCTGTTGTCTGTCGATCACCTCAATGTGATATCCAACGAATGGCATCAATAACATCAGCCACGAAAGAACTTTCCTACACTGTCAGCTCCATTGTTTGATCTCGAATCCAATGTCGCTCCGTGTGGGTGCACGAACTTGCAAATCTAAGCACCCAATCCAATAAAGCTAGTCTGGATTTCATATTAGACATAACGCGTATCTAATGTTCGATTACCAAAGACTAAACAAATGAACGAATTCGATTGACTTTACAAATGGAATATTCTAATCAACGCTGGGAAGGAAGCCGACACCTATGGGACAGTGCGATTACAGTTAGAAGGGCTGCTGAAGTTGGAAACATCAAGTAGCCTATATCAAAGAAAAGTACGTTTATAATAAATGTTTTGGGTGTAATCCAGAGTTTATGCTACCCGATCAGCATACGACCGAAATTAGGAAACAATTTGGGTGTTTTCATAAAGCAGTACCAATGTTTTTCTTTGGTAAACTTGAACTGTCGAAATGCACCATACAGGAGCGGCTTTATACCAACGAAAAGCAAAGCTTTCTGCCACCAGCAGAATTATAGCCTTGCAACTCAAGGCTCAACTCAAGGCCGACAACCCACCCTCTTAAATGAATATATTCGGTGAATCTTAGCGTTACTCTGTAGAATTGGCGCAGCCGCTAAAATCCTCCGTCACTGGCTTACTGTTGGTGCATGGAAATTCAGATAGCAATTCAATAGCAAATTTGTATCTAGGGTTCACTTAAGGTGTGCGTGTGGAAACCCAACACAATGCTATTACACCATCCTTGCTATGTTGAGTCTAATAACGTCCAACTGCAATTGGACGGAGTCAGGGGGAGGGAAGGTGTCAGTGGCCGATCAATAGGGGACAAAAGTGATCGCGCAGCCAAAGCTTAAGATGGTATATGCTTTTGCGATCACGTTTTCTCATTACGCTGGATTCAACTACAAAGATCTACTGCCGTTTCGGATGGTGGTCGACCTAGCACACCCCATTCTCCTGTAGTCATAATGCAGGTCTCTGGAATAAACTGCGTGTGTAATTTCCCTCTTACAATTGGTGACTGTCTTTCGTGTGCGTTCCCGGCGCGATTTCGATGATAAATACTTCGGCCTTTTTTCATACGGATCCTCTGTTGATGAGTTTTATTTCCGTTAGTCCCCTGAATGTTCTACCTACTGCTTGCGATGTAATCAGTTGTTACATGTACAATAACGATCTTATTGTACTTCGTAATGTGAAATAAATGGAAAACATGAAGACATGGTAACTATCCTAATCATACATTTCCGTATGCGTATTGTGAGTTGATGACGATTTAGGATCGCGATAGATACGCATGTTTGTGTGTTTCCTTGTAGCCCAGGGCAGAGTAGCAGAGCCTACTCAAACCCAGTGAGACACATTATTAACCAATCAACAAATGCCTTGTTAAATCCATTCCCTTCGGGAACCAATCTGAATGACTGGGCGAGCACACGATCGATAGAACAACATGGACTGATTGTCATCATCTGTGGCGTGAACAAGCAATGAGACTGAACGATGACGGCCCAACGTCCACAAGGCGGACACGTGTCCAATCAAATGCAGGTTACGTTTGTCAGCAGACCGTTGTTCCGATAGTTTTTCCTGTGCCCCTACAAACGAGACCAGGTCCCATGCGCGGGGCAGGGGGAGGCGTGTACTAATTGAGTTTGTTACACACTCTATGTGCGCACAAACACACCTACTGTGTGATGTGTACATTGGACCGCGGTGGAGTGAGAATTTTACGCGCTAACCTTACCGCTCACGCGTATACGCCTGCATGCATGCATGCATGCACAACTTCACGCAAGCACGCATGTAGTAGTGGTAAGCGCGTGGTCAGTTTTGCAGTGTGTTGCCGCGCCAGTCATGAATGTCAAATTCGATTAGATGCCAGGCCTACTGATTTGAGGTTGTGCGCGTAACATTAGTTTATTTTTTCTTCTTCTTTTCTTTGCATCCTTCTCACATACACATTGACGCGTTTGCTGCTCATTAGGGCTCCTGACACTGAGCCCAGCATAAACAGTTGATCGGATTCTGTCGCCCTGTGGCTGTTGTTGTCTAATTTGAGTCCCTGTTTGTGTGTGTGCACTTGAATGTGAGTGAACGAGTGAGTGCGTGTTTCTTCGCCCTCGTGTATACGCACACGGAATTAATTTGATCAATCATTCCGCTTAGACGTTTTATCCTTCGTTACACGAAGCCTGGACAACGTGCGCGCTCGTTGGCGCGCGCACACACAACGAGGATATTGTGGCTCCCTTTATCTGACTGACTGACTGGCGGACGCAGTACGACGATTGATCTCCTAATTAGGTTAACCCACCCAATGACTACTAGTGAATCGACCAATCTCCATTATTAATATTATTACTATAATTATTGATTAGTGTGCGCGTGCGCACGCGCGCGTAACGGAGTGAAAACCGGAGCAACGACGTATAATGCTTGCCAAGTCCTCCTCCACCGCCGCTCACCCGAGTAGTACGGATCAGACAACCATTCACACAATTGCCCCGACTGTGAACGAGCAGGTGAATCGACGAGGATCCACGGAGGAATATGAGATCGAACGAAAAGATTCCGTGGTGCCAAACGAGCTCGGGAAAACTGAGGAACACATTGGCGAATCACATGAACTTGTTGATCCGATGGTCAATGGACAGAAAATCCGCACTCGAAGAAATCGGCATCACATGAGTCGGAATCAGAGTGAACGGGTAGTGGGAAAATGGTGTGAAAACCATGCCGAAACCGATATGTCGTCGGTGAAATGTTTTACTTCAGCGTATGCAGACGATCGCGACAGTGAGGAACGAGCAAAGAGAAACCACATGGCCTTACAGACAGAACACATGGTTCTGTCATTCACGTCCGATCTGAAAGCGTCTGGTGTTATAGATTCGCAAACTTTATCCGAATTCTGTGATGATCACGATAATGGTGACCGTGCCAATGAGCATCACCAGCTATTGAAGGGTGAGTGCAATGCTGAACTGATATTAAGTGTTACACGAAAGTGTATTGAATAAGTTGAATTGTAATCCCTACTTTATGGACCAGAGCCTTAAAACTTTCAGACTGATTTAGAGCAGATACAATCCACTTTTGAATTCTGCTAGCCGTAGCAGCTACAGATTGAATTTCCCGATTTTTATATGCGAAGATTTTGTTCACGGGGTCAAGTGAGTACATTTGTTGGGAGTACCGCCTAAGCGGGTTGCACAGTGGGTCTATGTACATCATACGGGAAATGTTATGTGGATTCTAAGGGCTCAACCTTTATCAGCTGACTGTTTAGTCATACCTCATGTTAATATTGATCGAAGGGCTCAGAAGAACAACGGAAATCAGTCTAAATAGGTGTAATCAGGTTCTTTTCTCGGTAGAATTTCCTAAATCTTTTAAATGGCAGTTACTATTGTTTTGAATGGCAAGGTTATAAAGTGAATAGTGTATTCATTGACCAAACTATGGCTGCTGTATGGATATGGTTTGTGTTTGTTATTTTTTAAAAGTATTGATATCGTAAGCATACATAAGACCAGATGCCTTTTATCCATTTGAATCTGTGAGAATGCAGCGTCGGAATGAAGCTAGCTGTTGATAGTCGTTCCAAACCTTCCTCCTCGGAGTGCAGTGTTTCGGAA